CCAGTCATAAAAAGACAAATACAGTATGATTGCACTTTATATAAGGTACTTAGACATGTAAAATCATCAAAACAGACAGTAGAATAGTGATTTCCAGGAACTGGGTGGAAGAGGAAATGGGGAATTATTGTTTAATGGGTATAGAGTTTTAGTTTTACAAAATAAAATGAGTTATGAATATGGATGGTGGTGATGGTTGTACATTTTGAATGTATTTAATATCATTCAACTGTATGCTTAAAAATGGTTAAGATGGTAGGTTTCATGTTATGTGTATTTTAATAAAATAAAAATTAAAAAAGAAAAGAAAATGGAAAATAATAAATTATTTGTCTAGCGTCTGCAGGTGCATCTGTTTTATAGGCTTACTCTTTATACCACTGCTTCTCCAACTTTAATAAATAATGGTGTGCCTTGTTATGGTCCAAATTCTGTATTCAGTAAGCCTAGGGTAGGGCCAAAGATTCTCCATTTCAACTTCCAAAGTGAAGCTGATGTTGCTGGTCCTGGTCCTTGGCTCATATTTTGAGGAAAAGGGTTTTATAAAATTTATAAGGTAAGATAAACAGCATTTGAGATTCAAACAAAACCCACTAAATAATTAAATGGTAGTTGCCTCAAAATGAGATGAGACTCAATAGAATTGGAGATGTGCTCTTTCTGAAAACTAAATACGACACATTCTAGAAAGACTGAGTCTCAGTTTATCTATTATCTATTGCTACACAACAAAATTATTGGCTTAAAACAACATCAAACATTTATTTTGCTTATGAATTTGAAATGTGGGCAAAGCTTTGCAAAGATAGCTTGTCTCTGTTCCACATGGCATCAACCAGGACAATTCAAATAGGGACTGGAGTAGCCACTTTCAAAATGATTCACTCTTGTGCTGGCTAGCTGATGCTGGCTTTCAGCTGTGAATTAACTGTTAGTTCAGCCAGGGCTGTGGGACAACAGTCTTGGTTCCTCTCCATATGATACCTCCATGGATGCTTCAGCTTTCTCATAGAATGGTGACTGGGTGCCAAGAGCAAGTGTCTCAGGAGAACAAAGTAGAAATATATAGCATTTTAATGACCTGGTCTCAAAAATAACCTAGCATCACTTCTGCCACACTCTGCTATTGATACTAGTTGACACAGTCATGAAGGCCTACCAGATTCAGGAAGACAGAAGACTGTCCTTCTTGGGCATGGAATGGCAAAAGTTCTAGAAGAGCAAGAGGAATGGAACATAAAATCATGATCATCTTTGTAAAATACCACATCATACCTATCAACCACAAATCCCTTTTGAACAAATGATAAATTTATTAAAATAAAAAATTCTCTAATTCTAGCCCATCCCCATTCATATACATGGATGGATGGATAGATAGATAGATAGATAGATAGATAGATAGATAGATAGATAGATAGATAGATAGATAGATAGATAGGGCAGAAAAAAAGAAATATAAAACAGATTGGAAAAAATTGAGGAAAAGTTAAAAGAATAAAAGATCAGAAAATTATGGAGGCTAGAAAACAAATAGGAGAGAAATAGATTAAAGAATAAAGACAGAAGTAGAAAAAGGAGGTAAAATATTCAGGCACACAGAAAGGTAAACGTAGATATGAAGACAAATATCATTTATTTATTTCCTTCTCTACAATTATTTTGCTACCTATAAGAGTAGAGTGGGTACAAATATGATTGATTAAGAAGACTTCTTGTTATTTGTTGCAATTCTCTGGTAGAAAGGAAGCAATATAGGAGCTCAGTACTAAAAAATAATAAATGAGTTGAGCTATTTTTCTTTCAAGAACAGTATTGCAGCGCAATGAATTCAAACATAAAACCTAAGGCTTGCTCAGAACTTCTCATCTATTGCAAGACCTCATCAGAGAGGAATGGGGGCAAGAGTTGGGAAGAAACAATCGTACTGCCTGGTCCACTTATTCCATTTGCCAACTTACGTTTTCACTCCTACAATTTGAGGCTGGCTGCACTGAAAAACACACTTGGGGTCACTCTTCAGACCAGATGAGTATCCATGCAATTTAAAATTATCATGATAATCAGAACTTTCAGTTCACAGTAAGGAACGCTAGTTAGAATGATACTTGGAAACAAAAGATCCCTCTGTTCATACAGCGCCCTTCAAATTGGCTTCCCACACTGGTTCATTTGGTCTCCACACTGTCCTGGTGAGTGGGAGCTCTGTGGGGATCTAAAGTGGTATGAGAAAGTCACGTTGTGCTCAATGGTTGGTGCTCAAGGCAAGGTTTTCTGTTTTGTTCCCTGGAGCAGGATTTCAAAGACCAGAAGAGAATATTTCTACCACAAATTTCCTTTCAAACAAAACCACTGAGCATTCCTACGTTTCAGAAGCCCACTACCTCTCCACTCCTCCTCCACAGCTCCCACTTCAGGTTCAAAAGATAAAGACTTTCCTGATGAAGCACCCTTAGCTGGTACGTGAGAATGTTCCAGTCATGCTACTGAGATGAGTTCCTGGAAGGAAGATGAGGAAAATGATCTGTACTTTTCTTGATTTCTACCCAGGCGTGTCTGTTCTGTAGGCGTCCTGGAGTTCTTCCCAGAAGGCAGATCTTGAAATCTTCAATGCCAATCACGAATAAGAGTTCCATTTACTTAAAAGAATAAAACCTGTTTGGTGTTGTGAATATGAATGAAAAGTGCCAGGTTAAAAGGAACAATTGCTGATCCTCACCTACGGTGGAGTCCTAAAGGAAAGGACCAACTCATCTGTCCCTCTCCCCTTCTATTTTCTACACCAATCCCTTCCCATTCACCAAGGGAATCAGGACGTCTACCAGAGAGACAGCTGAGTTGAGACTGGGTTGCTGCCTAAATGTGTGAATTTGGGCATGTCAGTTAATTTTCCTGTCTGTTGCTCCTACACAGAATTAGAATAAGAATCTTTATCCTTCTTTATCTTCCTTTGAACTTTGCCAAAGAAAGGCACTACAAAGATGCTGAAGAAAATCCTGCCAGCATTTGTAGCTGCCCTGAAAGAATATATACTATGTGTTCTTAATACAGAATGTCTAGAAATAGGGTCTTTCCTGCTACATTCATGCATTATCAGGGCAGTATTATCATGAGGCATAATACCTTCAAATATTAAAAAAAAAGTAAATGTAGGATACTGAAAGTTAAAACTACGGTGCTGAAAATGAGCAATTTGAGGCCCCCAACTCCTTATGATGCCTCTACTTTATTCTGCTCACACTGCCCTGTAGTTACTCCCACCCTGCTTTTATAGTTTAAACAAGCCAAGCTTTAGCAGTGCATAGTCTCCTGGCCCCCTAATCTAAGAGAAAAAGAGCCAGGAGTTCACATTCAAGCTGGGGGAGTTCTAGTCTTAGGGTGTAGTCAACATAGTTATACCACATAACTAATTCATTTATGCCCAATAAATCATAAGCAACCTCAGATATGACACCTAACCTCTCTAAGCCTCTGTATTAGCTCTTCAGGGCTGCCATAACAAACTCCCACTGACTGGGTGGCTTAAACAAGAGAAGTTGACTTTTGCACAGTTCTGGAGCCTAAAATCCAAGATCAACAGGTTGGCAGGTTTGGTTTCTACTGAGGCCCCTATTCTTGGCTTGCAGGCAGACCATCTTGCCGTGGCCTTTCCTCTGTGTGAAAATTTCTGGTGTCTCTTCCTCTTCTTATAAGGACATTAGGCATACTGGATTAGGGCATATTCTAAGGTATCATTTTAACTTAATCAGCACATTAAAGATCTATCTTTAAATGTAGTCACATTGTAAGGTTAGGGCTTCAACATATGAATTTTGGAAGGGTATAGTGTAGTCTGTAACAGCCTCTTTAAAAATAGGCATCATAAAATTGATATAAGATACAGACAAGAACATGACTTAGAAAATGCATTCTAAATAAGTCACTATACAAATATTATATTATTAGTACCCTTATTGTTGTCATTATAATTATTATTCTTTCTGACATATTGTCAATCTCCTGGAAAATCTAAAGTTTCTACCTTTGAAAGGGTTATATCACAGTGGTTAAGAGAATTAAGATGTTTAGATCCAAATCCTGGCTCCACCACTTGTTAGCTGTGTGACCTTCAGAAATTGTTAACATTTCTAAACCTTAATTTCCGTATGTATAAATTAAGGATGGTAAAAATAGCACCTACCTTGTAGGGCTTTTGAAAGGATTTAAAGAGGCAGTGCACTAAAATGGCTGGCTAATAGTACATGCTCAATAAATGATGGTTTTTGTTATTAACAGCAGTATTTAGACCTTGCTGCTGCTGCTGCCTCTTTCTCAGCCAGCAGAGGTCTCCATCATAATCAAATGAGGACTAGCTTCCCTATGACAGTCTGCCTGCAGCTGCCAAGCACATCCACTGTTGGCAGAGAAAATAGTGGAAGAATTACCACCCTGTCTAAAGGGGGGAGAAAAAATGTAAAACAAAAGAACAGGAAATAGGTAGCATTCCATGATAAAATGTTAGATGAACAGGTGACCATAAATTAAGATTGTCTTTGTTCTAGTACTGACTTTCACTGATATTACCCTTAGTTGCATCTCATTTTAGCCTGTTCTAAACCTGGGTTTAAAAAAAAAAACATATATCACAGAAGAGCAGTAAGAATGAATTGACAGATGTTTGTAAAGTTCTCTGAAAATAAGACGTGCTGCTAAATAGACATTTAACATTTTTCATAGCATTAAGCTTATTTCATCTTTATCATCAGTTATACTCTCTGCCTCAGTTTTGCTTCCACTATGAGATATTTTCTTTAATCTTTTTTCCCCAGACAAGCTTACACCTCCAAGTTCAATTATTCTGTCAATTGTGTTTTAAATCGTACTGATTTCCATTAACCAATTGTGGTATCAATTTGTTGATGTAGTCCTTCTTCTGAACCAATCATCTTTATATACCACTGAAAGCTGGAAAGGCAATTAAACTGAGGAAGGTGAGAGTTATTCAAGAAAAATTAAAGAATAAAGGTAAAGAAAGTGGAAAAATTTGGATCAAAAAGGGTACTGAGGAAAAAAATACACATGTACTAAAAAGCACAGTACCGGAGCAGATAGAAGCACAGAGGGAAAAGAGGAGAGTGAGGTAGACGGATCCTGCTTATGCCTACTCCATCTCTCTTTCAGCACCAAGGACAGAACCTCTTAGCGGGTGGCCCTAGTAACGTTCAGTTTAGGGTCCCCCGGAATCCTCTAGAAAAAACGGATGCGTTCAAAAGCAGCTATAAAACATGCTCTAAGATCTAATAGGGAAGCTGGAAAAGTAGCACACAAGTAATTTCACCTTAGAGGCTAAAATGGGTGATTTTCTTTCTGTTCATGTACGTAGTTTCTGTGTCCTGGGAAAGGCAAAGTTTGCTCTGCTTGGGTATATCTGCTGTCAGTAAATGGCTGCAGGAGCTGAAGTGCTAAACTCCACAGTCTCCAGAAATCAGAAGAAATTTTCAGGGTAAGTAATTTTTCTTTTTGTTTCTAATTTAGTACATCATGTTTTCATGGAAGTTAATCAGCTTGGGGTTCTGTGTTTCTCTAAGAATATGCAGTAAAACTCTATACTCATTCTTATTTAAAAACCTAAAACCCTGAGGATACTGTTTTCTTTTTTTTTCTAAGTGGTGGGACAGTAGAAATTTATTCTCTTCTTTTTCTTTTCTTTTTTCCCCAATATTGTATCCTCATGGGCTCTACAAGCTCTATCAAGGCAGAATTAAAAGATAGAAAACAAAAAGCTGTTATTATTCCTGGGATTTGTCTGGAAGTTGATTGTATTCCTCTTAAGGGTTTTACTTAATTGTAAGGGTCTGTTATTTTAAACTCCCCAATTCAACACCCTGGTAATCCAGGGCTGAGGGTTTAGAGAGGCACTGTTTTCAATAGTCTATTAAAGTCAGGCTATTTCCACGTCAGGATCCAATTATTCCCAACAGAGATATGTTGTGCTGGAGATGGTGATTATGTATTTTTTTATGATGGTGTATGATTTTGAGGGTATTGTTGTTATTTAATTGTGGGACTTCCATCACTTACTGCAGCTTATTGGGTCAATGGAAATCATTGCAATTAGGCATTTGTTCTAGTTCATGCATTTAGTTTAGTTGAATACCATTAAAATGCACACACAAATAATAATGCAGCAACAATAAAGTGGCATTTGGGTTCTAAACTCATTGTGCATCCGTGTTTGCACTTTGAAGGTGAAGCCCTTTGCTTACTGATACTGAAAGGTCAGCAAAATGTCTGTCCTTAGGTCAGAGTGAAGAACAGCTGCTTGACATGACATTAGGATCTCTTACAGACAAGGAGAAGCAGAGACAAGTGAAAAAGATTCTTACTCAAGCACATCTTTATTTATAGTTGTATATTTTCAAGTCTGCGTGGTTAGCAGTGAGCAGGGTTATTGAGCAAGGAAAATACTGACAGTATCCAAATGAGCGCCTGATATTAATGCTTCTATACAGAAAGCTGCTTACAATAGAATATGCATTAAATCAAATAGATTCTACTCCATAATAAATTCAGTTTCTAATTCATTGCAATTTGTTATTGATTAATATTTGCTTATTTACTGATTGATCTACTGAATTCCCATTTTATCTCTGATTTAACAGTAATATGTTCAGTCTTTAGAGGTTGTGAGGGAAATTGAGGGTGTTCTGCTTTGCTAGGCAGGTTTAATGAGGGAAAAAATTATATTATCTTAGCTACTGGATCCCAGTAACCAGCTGTGGTTTCTTTTCTGTACATTTACCAACAATGTAAATGTGCCCAAATATATAAATATACTATGTATTTCAATGCACTTGTGAATCTACATTAGGAGAATAAACTAGATAGCAATTTGCAAGAATAAAGTGCCATAGAAATGCTAAAGACTACCTCTAATAATAATGACAATGTAACTCCCACTGGCTCTATCAGCAGTGTGCACCTGCATTGACTTCACTGAGCTTAGTCAGATGATGTGCATAAGATACCCTGAACAAGCGAGATTTTAAAATTAGTACCCATTTCATGTTTGTCTGCCTTACCCCAAAAGTGGCATAGTTAAGAACATGAGCCCTGGAATCAGACAGATCTTGGATTGAATCAACTCTGTCATTTACTGGTTTGTGACCTTAGTAAGATACTTACTTAACCTCTCTGGGACTCACTATATCTGCAAAAATGGAGATGATAACAGCACCTATCTCCTTCATCAGGTTGTTGTGAGATTTAAATAAAATAATTTTATATTATCATATTTATATATGTGAGCTATAATTATTAATGTTAACAGGCAATATAACAAGTCTGAATTGAAGCCCAGACCAGAAAAGCTTAGAAGACTGTTGATCAGGATGTGACTGAGTGAAAAATTAGAGATGGCAATAGTCAGAGATCTCTGAGATGAGTGAAGATGTGGTCATAGAATCCCATCACGAAGGTGTTTTGCTTTGGGTTGAAGAAAATCCATCTCAACATGGGAATGACTCCTGGCATCAACTTCCATCCCCAGATGGAATGAATTGTGAGCTTTAGGGAGATCCGAGATCAAAGCTTGGCTCAAATCAGCCCCTTACACACTGTGTAATCTTGTCTCAATTGTTTTAATCCATAAAAGGAAGATATCGATATTCACATTTAGGGTTGCTATAAATGTTAAAATGAGGTAATACATGTAAACTCCTAGTGCCTGACACATAGTAGCAGGCCAGAAGTAGTTTTCTTCAGAAGCAGGTTGAGGATTCAAGGCGGTTTTGCTGTGTTTGTTTTTTGCTTATCTCAATATCCTTAAGGAAGAGAATAAATAATTAAAACCCTATAAATCCCGTAAATGTTTCAAGCAGTCTGTCATTCAGCACAGAGGGATTGAACAGCAACAAAGCAGGATGTATGTCATAGCTGAAGGGGACCTGACCACTCTCTGTTCCTCTGCTTTTTAAAATGGATTGTGCATTCACTCTAAGAGATGCTACAACAAACTATAAAGACCAAGATAAATTCATACTTTGTAAGAAATTTAAAGGCTCATTAAAATATGTAAGTAGTGTTATATGTAATGAATCTTAAAGAGTGAATCCAGCAGTAATCTTCTAGTCTTTGTCTTCTCTATTTTCTCACCTCCCATCTACTTTTAACTCCCAACACTCTTTGCTGAGGTCACCAGTAATGTCCTAATTCCCAAGTTTATTAGACACTCTGCAGTTGTAGCTTATTTAACCCCTTCACCTATTCCCACTTTCTTGTTAACAATAAAAGCTACCATGTTTCAGGTGCTATTTCCCAGACATTACACTATAGCAGTGATTCTTAAAGGGGAAGACAATTTTGCCCCTCCCCCCAAGGGACATTTGACAATATCTAGAACCATTTTTGGTTGTCACAACTTGGAGGGAGGAGTATGCTACTGGCATCTAGTAGATAGATGTCAGGGATGCTGCTAAACCTACAATGCACAGAATAACCCACATGACAAAGAATTATCCGGCACAAATTGTCAATAGTGACAAAGCTTTACATATATAGTTTCATTTAATCTTCACAATAATCCTGTGGAGTACTTATAATTATTATTGCCATTTTGCTGATGAGAAAACCAGCCTATCATTATGAATTACTTAGAGAGTGATTATTAAGTTAATGAATTCTCTAGACTCTTTGCTTCATCCTACCTGAGACCATTTTACTATCTGTTAACATATCTCTCAGAGGGAAAAAGAAAGAAGAAAGCCCAGCTTAGTTCTGTTATATAAGCAACACTGGCTTTAAAAAAATCTAAGGAGGGAGAAAGCTGAAACAATTAGCTGAGAGGTAGGGAGTATTCTAACATCTCACTTATCTCTGCTTTCATCTCTCATATCCACAACCCATTAGAAACTGCCTGGGCAACTTCAGCTTGCCCCACCTGCTGCGATAAAGAATATAAGACCTGAGACAGTACAATGTGAAAAAAAATCAGAAACCCATGCAATTGTGATTCCAACATCAGGCTCAGAATTGATTTTCAGAATTGAGAGTTTCCCTTCATATAATTAGCCATCTACACTAAGCTGTACTATTTTTAAGTAGCTGTCAAAACTCCTGACAGAGTAAAAAGTCCAGCAAGATGGTAACAAACATGATAAGGTTTTATGCTTCCCTTTTAATCGACAGGTGAGATGAGGCTAAGACATCATTAGACAACTGCAGACCCCAGGAAAGAGGGATTCTGGGTACTGCTTTCCAAGGGGGCCCAGTTGTGAAAGGGAAGTCATCTGAACCTGAGACTGCCTTAAAAGTGGAAATATCTTTGAACAATGAGAAAGCATTGTATTTTTCCAAAAAGCTCTTGGCAATGGCAGTACTATCTCCAGGGTAGCAGCTGCCCTTCTGCAAATAATGAGAAAATTATAATTATTATCAAGAATTATTATCGTGTTTTAAAATATATTGAGTGCAAACAGTGTGCCAAGATAAAGAACAATTTTTTAAGCAATTCTCTGAATGTATTCCAAGTTGGTCACCCCATTCCAATCATTTGTTCATTTTAACACTTTCACATTCCAAGCTAAAATGTTTCAAAATGAGCTACAAAAGGACAGCCATGATTAGACCAATCTCCTAATCAAAAGAGAGCTACAGATACTAGGATTGAGAACAAATCCTGGCCACCAAGCCAGCCTCTACTTTTGCCAGGGCCTGGAGCAAGAGTTCCCATGGGCACCCATATATACCCTGTTTAAATATTTTAAAGTCATAACCAACTAAGCATTGAATAAAATGTTTAATCTTCCGGCCTTGACAAATATGCCTTTGAAACCACCTGGTAGGCCAGGTTTGAATTTAGGATTCCTGGGTCCTTAGGAGTTCTATGCAAAACGTGACAGCGCAGGAGAAGCTGGATCCCCTCACACACACTCTCACTATCCCGCCCCAGGGATCCTGTCCTCTTCTCTCCCCACCTTAGGCTACACAGAAGCTATCCCTCAAGTTCCAACAAAAAGCCACCACTTGGTCCCAGGAACCCCACACACACATCGCACAATCTTTCCTCAGGGTGACATATTCAGAATGGGGCCCATCGTGCCCTAGAAACAGGCTCTGAGCAGCTTGGACAGAGAATTCTGTGATCCTGGCACTGGGGGTATGGTCCAGATGGGGGTGTGGACTCTTAGTGGATCCGCTCCTTGGGGCTGTAGGAGGGTATGACCTCATCTTGTGGGGAGGGTATAACCAGAAAAGGGTATCTTAGTCTGTCTGGGTTGCTGTTACAAAATACCATAACTAGGCAGCTTATAAACAACAGAAATTTACTACTCACAGTTCTCGAGGCTGGGAAGTCCAAGATCAAGACACCAGCAGAGTGTGTCTGGTGAGGACCTGCCTCTGGTTCATAGACAGCTGTCTTTTCACTGTGTTCTCACATGAGAGAAGGGGCTAGCCAGCTCTCTGAGTCTCTCTTGTAAGAATACTAATTCCATTCATGAGGTCTCTGTCCTCATGACCTAATCACCTCCCAATGATCCCTCCTTCCTAATACCATCCTTTTGGGAGTTAGGACTTCAATATTTGAATTTGGAGGGGACACAAACATTCAGACCACAGCAGAGGACCAGAGTGTGGCCCTTTTACAGCACAGATCTGGGGGCAGGAGTCATTTTTGCTTGGGTTTGGGGGCCACACTGTAAACCGCAGGCCTTACATCTTCCCCTATCCTCCAGAACTGTGAGAGAATACATTTCCATTCTTTATAAATTACCCAGTCTCAAGTATGCTGTTGTAGCAGCACAAATGAATAGATGGGTGCCATCATTTCCCTCATTTTACACAGGAAGGAACTGGAGCTCAGGGAGGTAGAGCAATGTGCACAAGGTCCTACAATGGCTTCTCATCTCACCCAGAGTCCAAGCACGGCTCTTTCAATGGCCTGCACAACCTCTGTACCTCATGCCTGTTCTACTCCACCCCGCCTTGCTTGGCTCCACCTACACTGGCCTCCCTATAATCCCTTCTCTAGGCTAGCCCTTCCTGCTGGTACTTGCTGTTCCTGCTGCTTGGGCCACTCTCCCACCAGATATCAGCATATCTGCTTCCTTACCTTCTGCAGGTTTTGACTCAATTGCTAATTTCCTCATGAGGGCTACCTGATTACATAAGTTAAAATTGCACTGACACCTACTTACATACACACAGTCCTCACTCACTATTCCCTCCACATTTATTTTTCTCCAAAATACATATCATCATTGAGCATACCACATCTTTTATTGACCTTGTTTATTATCTGTCTTCTCCTTCAGAATGGAAGCTTCATGAGGGGAGGGATTATTATCTGTTTGGTTCATTGCTGTATCTCCAGCTCTTACAACAGTGTCCATTATATAGAAAATACTAAATAAATATTTATTGACTCAATAAACAAACAAACAAAAAATGTATCCAAGCAAACAAGATCCAAAGAGTCTGATTTTACCAGTATTGTTTTTCTGTTTCTTCCCAGGAAACCACTTGGGGTCACACTCCTTTCTCTGGGCTATGGCGCCTCTGAGCCAGCTGAGTGGCCACCTGAACTACACCTGTGGGACAGAGAATTCCACAGGTGTCAACCGGGCCCGCCCACATGCCTACTATGCCCTCTCCTACTGCGCACTCATCCTGGCCATCGTCTTTGGCAACGGGCTGGTGTGCGTGGCTGTGCTGCGGGAGCGGGCCCTGCAGACCACCACCAACTACCTGGTGGTGAGCCTGGCTGTGGCAGACTTGCTGGTGGCCACCTTGGTGATGCCGTGGGTGGTATACCTGGAGGTGAGTGGGCTCTAGGCACATGCTGCCCATATGCCGTGCTTGTCTTTGTCTTCCCTGAGCTCCTGACCTTTGGAGCTCAAAGTACTCCCCCAGTGGTCAAGTAGCTGAGGAAGGAAAGGGAGTTCCTGTAATTCTCTTTTAATGAGGGAACTGAAGCTCCAGAGGGCAGCCACCATCCAGTCCTCCACTCACACCAGAACCAGGGAGCCAGGAATGATTCTGTCCTCAGGTCTCTAGTATCCTGGGAGCTGGGCTTGAGAGATGGGATGCTTCCAAAAAAGGGCTCAAGTTTATTCTTTATGCCAGTCATGTCTCAATGACATGGTGGGTTTGGGGAGGCAGCCCTGAGGGCGTCTTCATCAGTGTTCTATGTATATGGAGTGATAGTATGCAGGAGGGATGTGAGGCTGGGAGGAAAGAAGAAATTACATTAAAAACAAAAAAAAACACTTTTTTAGTGAATGAGAGGGAAAGATAGAAAGAATGGTCTGCAATTAGAACAGACCTCTTTTGGTGGTTCAGTTGCCCTCCATCTTGGCTTTTCCCTCCTGAGTGCCAGCTCTCCATAGACTCTGCTACCGAAGGAACAAACTAAACCTTCAAATTTATATTTTCCATGCCTCCATTAATAGTACAGAGTCTTTGCCAGTCAGATAGTGCAGAAGAGCCTGGAGAATTCTTCTGGGGAGAAACTTTTCTTAAATTTGAAAGTATTTTCATTTGTAAGTGCAAAACAGGGTCAGAGGATGATCACAACAAGGAAATCCATTTGCTAACAAGGAAATCAGGGTGTCTGCATCTGTTCAAGAAACACATATTCTTACCAAGAAAACATGCAATTACTAAAGAGATTTTTTCAAAATACATCTTAATATACTATTAATATTTCTCCTCTGCACTGTGTCATTCTAAAGAGGTATCCAACGAAGGATCAAAATGATGCCATGATTAAGAGAAATTAAGATTCATCAAATTAATATCTCAGTTAATATTAATAGTGAAGGTGACAGTTAATTAAGTATGACATATCATGATAGAGCAAAAACCTTGAACATAGACTGCCTATGCTAGTACCCATATCAAACAATGACTGAGATCTAAAATTAGACTTATGATCTCAAAGGAGAAAGATAAAGAAAGAAAGAAAATAGAGAAAGAAAAGGAAAAGAGGAAAAACAATTAGGCTGATTGGGATAGAGCTAAAGGTTAAAGGGAATACTTACTTGGGAAAGAAAATATGTGTTTATTCTTCCCAGGTAGGATAATCCTGATGGTAAAGGGTCTTGTAATTATCTTAACTTTTCTGTCAACCCAATTAGGCTAAATTACCCTGAAGTCAGTTATGTCTTTGTTCCTCATTTCCTGTAGTCTAAACATGCTACCTGGCATATAACATGTGCTAAATAAATATTTGATGTATGAATGATGCAATGAATCTACTCTGTAATGTATGCACTATATGGTCAATTCCTGCATCTATATCTACTATTATAAGCAGACCTTCTGGGGGAAGGAAGGGGTGAAGTATTATTTTGCATCCAATAATAATGAGACTGAGAAGAAATTAGAAGCCTGTGATATTCCTGTTTAGAAGTGAGGCACTTTAGGTGCTACAAACCAGTATGGCTTGGTCAATGATTTATAGCACCACCACCATCCCCCTAAAATGTTTCTGTCCATCTCTATACATTACAAAATTCTTAAGTCCCCCAGAAGGAGGAATGTCAGAAATGCAGGCAGTGGACCTTAATTTTAATGAGCATTTTGATCCCCTCTAAAATAAAATCAGTCTTTTGGTACCTAGAATAAAGCCACTTAGGGGCACTCTTGGCTATCCACTTCTAGTCCTCTGGTTGAACTATATTGGGAAACCTCCATACATACTGGTTTAGAAGATGGATGTTGTGACTTTTCCACCTTAGAAACCCATGGCATCCCCTTCTAGCCACAGATGCCCGTATTACACTGCTGATCATAGAAGAGCAGCTGAGACTGCAGAGAGCCACCAGAAATCTTGCCAAAGGCCTTAATGGAATCTCTGTAGTAAGTAGTATCTATGGGTTTTCTCCCATGAGAAGAGCTTTGGTGGAGCTCTTGGTATCCCCACATAAAAACCACTATGCCCTCTGTCCCACAGGTTATTTGATATAGGTGTTCAGTGCTCAAGAGCATGGTCCAAAAAAATCTGCATTCACACAAAGAGATTTGGGGGAGTAGAGACATCTCTTCACTGGGAAATGGTCTTTGAGGCCTCTTTTTGTGTCTTACTAACTTGCTTCAAGGCCCAGTCAATGCAACTTAATATTTCTGCATCCCTTTCCACAGCAGTCAACTAAGGGTCTGTCTCTTCTATAGGGGAGAGGATATGACGTAAAGCCGCTGTCACTAACAGTTAAAATATTAGAAGTTTCTAATTTAGAGGACCAGGTCTCCCTATTCCACACTAGTCTATACTTTTCTTAGTCTTAAATTTTTTCCAGTCTTTTCTTACAGGCAGAGAAGGTACCTCAATGAGAGAAAAGAGTACTTGGAGCTTTTAAAATATGGACTATGAATATACAACTCCATGTGTCTCAGGAGGAGCAAAGTGTTGCTCTTACTAACTTTTCCTAACAATGGTGCAGTTTGAGTGATCCTCTGATAATCATGTGCTTATACCTGAGAGCCTCTTTTGGGAAAGGAAAGGGTGACTGTTGGTCACAGAGACTGCTATAGGCTTAAGGACCCCCAGGAAGACAGGACATACAAAAGAAGAACACTATTTTGGGGGCCAAAAGATTCACCAAATCCATAGCCTCATGTGCTTTGATTTGAATAAACCCATCTTTCTCAAAGGAAGATTGGCTCATTTTGCCAGACACCAGTGTGTATGAGTTAGGAATGTTTTGGCTTTAAATCCTGGAATCCTTGACTACTTGTGGCTTAACCAAATTTTATATTTCTTACATAACCAGAATTCTGGAGGAAGGGGATTGTTGTTGTTGGTTCAGCTACCCCATGGTGTCAACTTGGACCAGACATTCCCATTCTTCCCCTTCACTATCCTTGGCAAGCTGGCCTACTTCTTCATGCCACTCACACACGGTTGCCACAGCCCCTACTATCAAGACAGTATTCAAAACTGGATGGATGGGAACTTCAGAAAGAGAGAGGGAGAAAGCCCTTTCCCTGGAGTAGCTTAAGCATCCTTCTAAGGAACTTCATTTAAGCCTAGTTCACCAGAACTTAATCATCGGGCCACCTTTAGCTGGGAAGGAGGGAGGGAAGGAAGGAAGGAGGAAGAAGAAGAAAGAAGGAAGGAAGGAAGGAGAGGAAGAGGGAGGGAGGGAGGGAGGGAGGGGAGGGAGGGAGGGAGGAGGGAGGAGAGGGAAGGGAGAGTGAAGGAAAGAAAATGTGTGTTTTATTTAAAAACTATGTGGAGGGCCGGGCGCGGTGGCTCACGTCTGTAATCCTAGCACTCTGGGAGGCCGAAGTGGGAGGATCACTCAAGGTCAGGAGTTCAAAACCAGCCTGAGCAAGAGCAAGATCCCTTCTCTACTAAAAATAGAAAGAAATTAATTGGCCAACCAAAAATATATAGAAAAAATTAGCTGGGCATGGTCATACATGCCTGTAGTCCCAGCTACTCAGGAGGCTGAGACAGGAGGATCGCTTGTGCCCAGGAGTTTGAGGTTGCTGTGAGTTAGGCTGATGCCACGGCACTCTAGCCTGGGCAACAGAGCAAGACTCTGTCTCAAAAAAAATATGTGGAGGTAGGCAATTGCTGTAAGGTAGTCAATACAATATCACATAACATTGCCTCTGTTGGAATTCACTGGATGATGTCATTTCAACACAGGGTCTGGGAGTCAGAAGACATGGAATTAAGTGAATAAAATGGAAGGGACAACAACACTTTCCATGTTGGCCTGATGTTAGGCTCAACTGTCATCAGCTGAGAGCGTACTGTGATAACTAAAAAGTGTGATCCATAAATGTCTCCTTAAGTCACTTTTAACTGTAAGTTAAAGAGCACTTAACTCCAACTGACTTAAATAATAAACAGAATACATTGACTTTCACACCAGGAATTCTAAAAGCTCTGTGTTAGGGTGGGCTTCAGGCACAGTTGGATCTGTGAGGCTCCAGCTCCATTTCTCTATAATTCTGTCAGCTCCGGTTTCTTCAATATATAGTTGGCTCTCCTTGGTATCATTCTCATCATTAGGGCACACAGGTGCCTGCACTTGGGGACTCACAGGGGCCAGTCACTGACCCATTTCAGTATTCTCTGTCCTCAAGCCTAGCAAAGAAGTTCAGGACAAAAACCATGCAGGTGACCTCACAGAAGGTCATATTTCATAGGTCTCCTGGCTTGACTGTCTATTTCAGTTTGCAGTATTTTCTCAAAAACTCTTTTCTGTGCCACACCAAATAGTTCTATCTCAGATTACCTCTCAAGTTTTTAATTTCCTGCCTTACAGGCTGCACGCTGGAGCTTCCTCTCCAAGCACATTTTGTCCCACTCAGTTAAGCACCTTTTGTGAAGTCTAATGCACTTATATCAGGACAGAAAGGCAGTGCGGGCGCCAGAGGGTATCGTTTGGAATACTAAATTCAGAGAACTTGGGTCCCAGTATGGACAGGAGAAAAGACTCGAGAGTTAAGAAAGGCAGACAAGCAAAATAGGACAGGAGGGTTCAGGCAGGGAGATGCACCACAGGAAAAGCGATCAAGGTCAGACAGTGTGGAAAGGAAAGAACAGTAATATTTTGGGGAAGGAAGAATCCTTGGGCTTTGTAAGGATACTGATTATTAAAAAGAATTAAGTTTTTTTTAAAGAGAATTTTATCATAGCTAAAAAAAAAAAAAAAACCCAGATGATAGCAATTTAAGACTTCCCTACTTCAAAATAAAAATGAGAGATTCTCACCATCTCTTCACCAAACTCTGGATTTTGATAAAAGTCATAGGCTGTTAAAGCTGGGAGGGCTTGGAAATGATTTTTCCTGTCATATTTA